CCGCAATTTTGCGCGTTTACTTACAAAATTCTAGATTATTAGTTTTAGTTTTACGATTTTTGTGGTCGTTTTAAATCTTGTGACATTTTCATTTTAAATATCAAAACTAATTTTAATCAAATGTGACATTGATTTTATTTAAACTGTTTCACAAAAGCTTAAAAATGCTTGATCTGTGTGGAAACTGGTGTTTTTAGGCCACAAGCAACACTGGATAAGCAAAGTCTACAGTGTTTCTCAGCCACCAGTCCCAAACCAGTGCAGATCCATGGGATTTTACAAAAACAAAAAAATCTGAAAGAATATTCATATGTAATTGTAATATTTTTTTCATTGTACTTGCATTTTACTGGTCTGCACCAGTATATGAGGCAGTAAGCCAGTCCCTGATAGTGAAAAGGTTAAGAAATGTTGGTCTATAGTATCCCACTGATGATGGTCACCAAATACTAAAAAAATTTTATTATTAAAAGTTTAAGTTTAAACAAGAAAAAATGGCAAAGCATTAGAAACCAATAAGCCTAACATTTATGTTAGTCATGAACAAATTGGAAACAGTATTACTAAACACACTGCTGAGACCAAATATTGTGCATCTAGCCAACTGGCCCACATGCTACTTGTCTTAGCAAACAGTCAAAAAAAACTCAGAGTTGCTTTCTTGGTATCCCATTTCCTAATACTTAGCCTGGGTTTGCCACAGATCAAATGATGAATGCATAACCAGCATGGCACTGGCAAGTGAGAAAATCTTGTTAATCACAATTATGGTAACCTTCTATATTCAGAATTTTTCAGTATAAATGACTGACATGCATGATTCATGGGTACATTGATACTCGACAGTGAGAATCTATGAATCTTCTTTCAAAATGTGTACTATCAATTTTTTTTCTAGTGCCTTGTATGTTACATTAGCAAAACTGCAACACTTACCGGCAATTTGCTAGCATTAGTTTTAAGCCCTGCCTGCCCCTTTAATTGAGGTACCTCAAGTATCACTTAACAAAACATAAAAAAAAATATCTGATAAAATATCTCACACAAAGTTTATAAACTAATCTCATACATTACAAATGGATATTAATTTAACAATTAAGCCATGGTACATCTTCTTCATTATCTAACAAATCCTTTAAAATTTACCATGTGACAATATCACAAACTATGCAAAAATGTATATGTTGTGTCACCACGTTAATAGACTACATCTAAATATTTTTAAATACTTCACCATAAATAAACGTTTATTTCATCATTCGTCGATGATAAAGAGATTTTACAAACTATTATATATTATTTATCACATATACTACAATTATTTTATAACAACACATATAAATACAAGGTAACAGAAGACCAATCAACCAACTGAGGTAACCTAGCTGAGTATATTAAACATACCACTTCATATCCATAAAATTACTGAACAAAAGACTTATAGGACTTCAAACCATCAGCACATAATATATCATCTAGTAAAAATTCCCATATGTTAACAACTAATAACAGGGAAGATTTTATTTTCTTTGCCTTATAACTAGTTTGCAAAAACTTATATTCACTATTTTGGATTTCATTCTCAACCTTAACCTTTCAACATTTCCACAAATCTCCCATAAGCAGTTTATTCAATCTCCTAAAGATTTTCTCCTGATCAAAGTTTTACACAGTGTAATCACTTCCTTACTCCTAAACTTAAAATTTCTGGAAATAAACCCAAGGGCACTAATTGCTCCTTACACCATTTACAAATAATCAGCAAAAGGTTTCAGCTAAATTCCCCTCTCTCTCTCTCATCATAATACTAATATTCTTTCCCACAAAAAATAAATAGCTTTTAATTGTTTACATTTTCCCAAACAAACTGGAGACCATTTAATGAAACCATTTATTTCCTACCTTCAAGTCAATTACTTGTCCATCTTTAGAGTTTTCTCCAGTATACCATAAAAAAGCAAACATAATTTATCACCCTATTATGATAAATCTTACTGAAAGCCTTCTACAAGTCTAGATACACACATCAACAGGAGAATTCTACTGTAGACAAGAAAAAGCCTTATCAGAAAATGACAACACATCTTTAATACAAGAAAACTACTTCCTAAAATGATGATGATAATTTATCAAATTCCAACTTCCAAGTGATCCTTACAATGAATTCCAATACAGTAACTTATCTAACAACAAGTTAGAGTAACTGATCTCTAATTTCTGTCTTTTCTATATCCACTTTTTTTTTTAAGTTAACACAATGGCTACCTTCCAATTAGAAATTTCCCACATCTAAAGATTAGAAGATTTTAGTTTTAAAAAAAACATCAACTCATCACTTAACCATTTTTAGCTTCACTATCAAAAAGAGTTTTATGCATTTCCAAAGTAACAATTTTCTTTGATATAATTTAAAACCACCCCATAAACAAATTATACAGTAATAACATTATTACCAGACAAAAGCATAAAATCTAACATTTCAGCAGTGTACTTTACTGCAACAATCAGTCCCCCAATAAGTCTCAAACATCCAATATTCTTCAACACTTTTTTGCTGTTAACTCAAGTACAAAATAAACTTTAAAATTCTAAGGACTTTCCAAAAATACCTTCATGCCCCAATTACGGATTTTTTTTTATCTGATTGTGCTTATTTTGGTATTCTACATCTTACATTATACTAGCGATTTTCATAGCATGGAAAGTTCCAAGTTTAACACTTATCACAATTTTAACACTTTTGTTCAACTTATTAGAATTTTCATCAGTTTGAACATAAAAATGTACAAGAAATATAACTTTATCAACAAAGAAAAAATTCCATGTATTACAAGTCTTCTGTTTCTTTAATCAAACTAGTTAGTTTCTAAGACTCAGCCTTTCTAAGATCAGGGACATAACCCTTATTTATTCTACATCTAATTTCAAAATAAAAATTATAATTTTAACCTATCCATTGTCATAACTAAAAACAAGGTTAATATAGCATGGTTCTTAATCATGCCAAGTAAGAAAACAATTACGCACCACAATATCCACCATATCACATGTAATCAATTGATTGTTACACATGTAATTTGCTGATACCATTACTATTGAAAGTAGTACTATTGAAAAGTGTATGATATACACACACAAAATTATAACAGCCTAATACACATCATGCCTTTCATTAGACCTTATGAGATGTATATTGCAGTCTGTTAAGCTAAGTGGTGGTATGTGCAAAAGTTTGCAGTAAATTCGTACAGATATCACCTTTTTGTATACTATGTAAAAAATTGCTATCTACACTGTATACTGAGAAGACGAACAAGACTGAAAAGAGGATAACATTTCTTTGATTAGAAGGATCTGGACAATTTCCATTACTTGTATGAGACATTTAAATGTGATTTAACACTGAGAAGTATGGATCTGAGTATGATCACTGGTTAAAGCCTAAACCTCATAATATTCTGTTAAACATTTGTTGTTCTTAAGTTAGGAATTTTTAAGTCTGTAAAAATTTTTTACAAAACTAAAAATTTAAGAGTATCTTATTTTGTAAAAAAAGATAAAACTTGAGCATCTTTCAAATTAGAAGTGTAAATTTTGATCTCCTTACTGTTAGAATCCTCACATTATGAAGAAAGGTTACAAATTATGAGTATATTCTTTAGATTATTGGAGATAAAGAGATATAGATATGATTAGTGGTGGCGAGTTACTAAAAATTGTACTAGTACTATTAGTGTTAGTAGAATGAGACAAACCATTGCATAATATCAGCATTTTAATTACAGAAGCTGTAAAGTAATGTCATTCCACATACGATGATACATACACATAAAACTAAAAGTAACTGAAAGCTAGGAAGTTACAAAATTGCGTATTTGTTGCCTTTTAATTTTAAGTTGTTTTTTTTTAGCAATAATAAACTGGGACAAGTTCCAAAAACCTAGTTAAAATTCAGGCTACTGACATTAGGCCTATTATAAATAGTACTACTATTGTATGTTAGTTATTAATAGTACTGATAAACGGCCTACCTTCATTACAGCTCTACTAATATCAATAATATATTATTAGTAGTACAGCTGATAAGTGTATCAGCCCTACAAAAGTACAATTTACAAATACTGAAATAGAGCTTCCCTCGTTTGTGCTAAGTATTACTATTAATATTATAATTAATGTATTATTATTACTATTGTAAATAGTACACACTATAGTATATAAAACAGTAACTTTGAACAAAGGACTTTTTCTACGCTTCAAATTATTTCTCAGAAACTTCATAACAAAGTCTGAGAAAATTAAACTATATAAAACAGAAAACTCATGATTTTCGCAAAGAATTACTTACGTTAAACTATCCATCGACTGCAAAACTTTAAAATCGAAACCACGTGGATAAACGAAACGTACTTATACTAGGTGCTAACAAACTTCCAGAGGTCAGTGCTGATAATCGGTATATTTCGTTTGTTTTTTTCTTAATTAATTATTTATTTAGGATCCACACACTACGAAATTGTTTCGCACTGTACAAACTATATAGTAATTTAATTAACTTCCTATATGTTATACTAAAAAAATATACCAATACACAATCCAAATTGCTACTGCAAAATTTGAGTATCTAAATACATCATAATATGTATTTAAGAAACAGAAAGTCCTAACAGTATTTAATTCATGTCAAAGAAGGCTTAACAATTACAGAAACACACAAAGTGAGTTGTGAGTTAAATTAGTTAAACTGATATGTCTATCAAAGTTGCTTGCCAGAAAACACCTTATGATCGGTAGTCTAACGTTATGCACATTATATACTAAAACTGAGTGATGGAGTGAAATCAAATTATCAATATACCATGCATCAACAGTTTCAGGAAAAAATATGGATATTCTTATATACAGTCTGTGATAATCAAATAGTTCTACAATAAATATTAGTTAGAACTCTGTGGTGATAACCACATTTTCAGATTTCTCACTCTATGACATTACGTTTTGCTACCAATATGCCCCCCCCCCCAATAGCACAGCAGTAAGTCTATTGACTTATAACTCTAAAAACTGGGTTTCGATACCCTATGGTGAGCATAGCACAACTAGCCCATGGCATAGCTTTGTGCTTAACTACAAAAAAAGCAAATAAAAATTGCCAATATACCCATACTATTGGTTTGTATATTGTTGCGTCATCGAGATCACGTGACAATTCTCACGCTCTCTTGTTTCTAGAACTATCCCGTATCTTGGCGAATG